TCATGGATGAGTACGGCGAGGTACATGGCCGATCTGTTGCTGCCGGACGCCAGTCACTTGGACAAGTGGCACTTACGCGCGTTGCGCTTCCTATGCCAAGTACGCTTTCACTTTGATGACTGGCTGTCGTATTTCTCTCAAAATCTTTTTCTTTTTTAGTCTTGCTGCTTCCACCATACTTGTACGAAGCCATGAACAGAAAAAATATCATGCCCAAAGCGAAGTACCCAAAGCTCGCTACGGAACTCGGTATGTACATCATCTGATCATTGATACTTAAATAGCTGACATGTTTGTGTTCATTGACAAGTTATCTTAACGCTCTGTTTATGGGGTGCAATGCCAAGCGCTGTTGCACTTTTCCCCCAAATGGGGACGATTTCGGCCGACAATGTAGAAGAGGAATTTCGTTCTCGAGTGGATTGCCATGGCCAGCCCATTCGCCACTTTCTCTACAACAAAGGGATTTGACCAATTCATTTGGTCTTGACCACAGCTTCATTAAACAAGCTTGGTAACAATTTTCGTTGGAATATTGTCAAAATCTGTGTAGTGTTGTTGTAGTCTCATTCCTGCAGCAAGTGCTGTCGGTTCTACACAAACCTGAATAAAGAGTGCTGTGGAGTACCTACCTATTACCTGTCAGTTATGCTGCTAATGATGATGCTTGCACTAACTCATAAGTTATAGTGACTGGCTCAAGTGGTCTAGCATTGTGATGCTAAACTGAGAGTTGTGAGTTCAATTCCCATTAATTCAATTAACATCATCGCGTGTTATTTATGAACTTCGTCTGGTTTATAGAAAGTAATTATGCTTCGCTGAAACGTATCGTTGCACCATCTTTGCTCTACCTTATTGTGTGGGTGGCTGATACGTATTTTTTTCATTCCATTCGTCCATCTTCTTTCCAATGAATGCAATGACCTTTGGGTCAGGTACAATAAATAAGTGCGTATCATCTAGATCTTCAATCACGAACCGTTGCTGCGAATCAAGCACCACAAGATTTTTCAACAGTGAAAAATATACTTGCAACTTCACGAGCTCTGTTACCAACCTGGACGGCCGTCTCATTTAGATGCAGCAAGTACTGCTTGGTTGCCGCATCGCTGGCAATATTATACAGTGACAATACGTCAGAAAGCACAAGTTGCTATAGCTATGAAAGGACAAGTGAACGCATCTTAAACATTACCACTTGACTAACACACCCTTGTTTGCAGTCGGCATTGAATTTGAGAATGAATGTAGATGATGTGGATGGTGTACCTTATGTGTTTGATACACCACATGATTCGAGTAGAAAAACATCCTCACATAACTTTTGAGTCTGCTCTATGAGCAATGCATATGATCTGGTATAATGGTGCACACTCGGCGTTGCAACGCATGATCCCTAGCAACAACGAAGTTCCGTATGAACGTTTCATTTTTCTTCGAGCCTCGTGACTTCATACATTTCGGATGTATGTAGTCGACACAAGTAGACTTCATAAGCTGTCAGATCGACTTTGTAAGGTGGACAACACGCCAGAACAGATATCAAAGTGATTGTGCGCACTGTATCGCGACGTTATCAAATCGTAGACCGACTCAGCACCCGCGATGCTGTTCGACCGGTGACCTGGTGTGGCAAAATTTAGTGCGGTACATGTTGTCATGAGCAATGAGAAACGTTGCTTATTCTTCGGATTTCGTGCTCGACTGTCATGCGGATCGTCTTAAAACCAAAGCCGCCAGTGGAGCCGCACCTCATAAAAATCCACTCCGATTACATCACAGAACGAAGATCAAGACGGGTGCTGCGCTGGGTATGCGGCTATGCAAGATCATGGTGCCAATATTTGAAAGAAAATTTCTGTCAGCCCAGGTTTGATCTATGGCCAGTGCGTCCGCGCTTCCGGTTCTTGGATCACACTAATCTGAGCATTCGCAAATGCATCCCTGGTGGCTGTGCCGGATCGAATCCGAGCAATGCATGTTCTTCGGCTGCACGCAAGCGTCACAGCTTCGGATGCGCGTTGTTGACATAGTGTCAAAGCTTCCTTCATGGTATCTGACGTTGTTTGACGTCGTGCTCACGGGGGAGATATGACGCAATATCGAGTGATAAGAGCACGAGGGTGATAAGCCGACGTGGGGCACGACCTCCGCGTGGTGACACCTCACTTCTCGTGGTCTAGCTATGTTTGCGGCCTCTTAGACAAAGAAGATAAAATCAAGTACCGATTATTCTGGCAACAGCCGGCGCCACTTTCTGAATCATCTTCGATAATTTAATGATTATTGCCGCGGGGCTGCCGTAGCTTTGTGCTTGAGGAAGCGTCTTTAGGTCACCAACCTTTCGTTCTTTACAAGAACCAAGTACTAGTGCAGCGGATCGCGATCCGCTGCCTCTTAAAGTACTTAAAAACGTTAGCCAAGGCAAACGAACACTTCTGTTTAAAATCAAAATTGATTTTTATTTATATTTTTATCCCAATGTTAAAAGTTTAAATTTGATTTCTATAAAATATACTAAGTATGTATAGTAAAATCTAAATTATACTATAGCTACTGGCTACCTAGCCCCGTCCCGTATTCTTGTTTGGGTGTGTGGTCAAATTATGCACATCTCATGTGACACGCCCTGTTATTAGGTTTCGTGTAACCCCGTTACGCCCTCCCCCATCAAGATTGATAACATTTAAAGTTCCAATCAATTATTGCCTCAACGAGGCTCGTGTGTCCGTCAGACACTGCAACTCCATTTGTTGGAACAAACAACTTCCTTGCTCAATGCGTCTTGTGTCAATAACACCAGAATCTCCAAGTCTCACCGGTTCTGACGGCGAGCATGGGCAGAGCCCAACTTTATCTCCCGCACTCGGTGCAATGTTGGACGGTGCGTCCGCAGCACCGAGGGGTGTATATCCTAGGCTCAATGAGCACAAACGTCGCACTACGCGCACGTTTTCGGTGCCGAGTGGCCTCGTCTAGGATATGGTCAACTATGAGTCTGGCACTCCTTTTCCCGCATGGGATGATGAAGAAGACGAGCTGCGCAAGCGACGCGATACGAGCCCTGCTCGTGTCTTACGGACCCCATGTCCGTTCCCTGATTTCTTGTCAACTGAGGCACTTGTTGTGATCACTAATGACCTCGACGGGGAACAGAGGCGGCAGCTTGGTCATTGACCCTCGTGTGGAATATGGCGTCCGCCCTGCGGATCCCGCCTAGGATGCGAAGGACGCGGTAACTCGATCGTTACGCGTCCACATCATCGGGCCCCCGGTCAAAATGGATGATGAATTTGCCACGCGGAAAGCTCTACGAGCTCGTTTCTTGGTCCCACGAGAAATTCAGCTGGAAACTTATCGCACTCGTCTGAGTGAACAACGAGGTGGCCCTCGTGTACCCGCAATGTGGACAATACCTGTAGTGCTCGCTCCTGGCAAAAGCGCTACAGATGACGAAGCGCTCTTTGATCGATGGGTGCAACGGCACCGGGAACTTTTCTCACTGTATAACCTGCTGTTGAGCCACAAGGAAGTGGACGTGTGTGTGTAGCGACACCTCCGCTTTGAGTTTGCCAAACTCAAGGCACGCCATTGACTTCCTTCAGATTGTCGCCCTGTGACGTATGGGCTAACAACCCTTAATGCTTCCGCGAGCTTTGTGTCTTCGACCGCACGAGCTTAGGGCCACTGCTTGAGCTCGGCTCATGGTCCTTCTACCTCCCTGGCTATGGCTGGGAAGCGCGAGGCGTCTGGTGATGCGGGAAGTCCTGATCGTTCCAATCAAAAGCGTCTACGGTGACTGGGCAATCTTTCCGGAGGTGCCTCAGACTCCCACGAGTTTCGGAGTCGGGAATTCCCCGCCACTTCACAAGATATTGGGTCTGACCCTGGTGACGACGTCGTCGTACTAGACGTTCCACGTGATAGTGAACGTCACCGTTTTCTTCGTGAAGAGTCGGTGGCGGGCGATGACTCGTGATGCTCTTCGAGCCCTTGTGGACGAGGTCCTTCGTTATCGGAGCTCCGCTGAGCGTCAAGCTGATGTAGCATATCGCTGTGCGGACGCTCTTGACGATTTAAAGCACGTCGTGCACCAGCTGCCTCGCCTTGAGGACTACCGCGCTCTGTCGGAGCGACTCCTAGCCGTGGGGGCAGGCGGATGCATCGCTGCATACAACGGTGGAGCGCTTGGCCCCAATGGAAATGGAGGTTGTTGCACTTCGTACTCAGAACCAGTTGCTGGTTCAACTTCTGGGTGGCGAGAGCCCATGAAATCCGCCCGGCGCCATCGCTTCCGCGTTCACTTGCGCCAGATCCCAGTACGGCTTGAGCAAGCTCACGTATGACACCGAGTGGGTGCGCATCCGTTTTGGAAGGTTCAGCCTGTACGCCAGGCCCCGTTTGACCACAACCTTAATCGGTTCGATAAACCGTGGACGAAGCTTCGTCCGGAAGATAGCGGCTGTATTTGTAGGCAGGTTTTTTTAATTCAATACAACCATGTCCTTGACCACGCGAGGGTGAATCTTCGCGTTCAAGTAGAACGGCGTGTAGCCGGTAGACGAATGCACTGTTTGTTCAGTGCAAACTCTACGAGTGGCAACATGGCGCCCTAGCGCCTCGGCGTCTCAGCGCAAACGCTGCGAAAAACATCTTCGATGACGCGATTCGCGCTTTCGGTTTGACCATCGGTCCGCCGTCAACATATCCAACTTGGTGCCGAGCCCCATTAAAGATTGTCGACCAAACTTTTTGGGGGTCTCTATCAGAGATAATCGACTCTGGGATTCTTGTCAAAAAG